GTAGGAGTTGAGCTGTCAAGAAAAGACTTTCTCTGCCAGCTCTTCCTTTTCCATGAATGAACCTGGTGACCGCAGAAGGAACACTGTATGCAGTTGGACAGGAACTCTCCGTAGGTTTTTCATGTGAATGCAACAAGAACAAAACCAAATATGATTTAAAAGGAATAATTTTGATTTGTTAATTTTATGCTTTTTAAAATCAAGTAGCAGCTCCCACCATCTCGCTCTCTCTCTCATACAAACACAGTTATTCTTTATAGTTTCTATTGTCTGAAGTGTCTATTCATGTTTGCGTCTCCAGTGTCGACATGAATCCTTGCCACTTGACTATATTGTACCTATTGTCTTCCAGCTCCAACTTGTCTTTTTGCTTTCTTGTCTTGTTGAACACCTGGGAAATATCCGTGTCATCAATGGATCAATCTTTCCATGTATAGTTCATTGACTGTGAATCTTAAGAGCTTTATAGAAACAGCTTGACGTGGATCTCCAAGTCAAAATCAGTTGACTGAGTTAAGTAAATAGAGCCGTCTTCAGTTGGAAATAGCCAGCTAGTAGAGAAAAGACCAATTTCCACACCCCTCCCCCAAAGAGACAGAGAGCGATGGTTCCTTTCCTAAGGCCCTGGCTGCAGTGTGCTCCAACAGTTAGTTAGTGAAACCACATCCCTACCAGCTTCGATAGAGAAGGAAAATGACCCCGTCTTCGAGGTAAGCTTTCCCCATAAAAGCAGAATAAAACGTGTTCTCGAGTCTTGGTCAGACTTTAGTTTTCCCTGCTTAGGTCCCCACACCAAATTATTCCCACTCTTGTGATTCTTTACATTATTGCTTTCCAAGTTTGTCCAGTGTCGTCCAGTAGGACTGACTCCCAAGTCGATGCTGGCTTTGTATTTGGTTATTCACCAGAGAGGGCGTGGTGCCCCAAACTGTAACACAGAGAGTTGGGATTGAGTTGTGCTCTTCAGCTTCCATCATGTGGATCTTAGTATTCCATTGGAAAGTCCATTTACCCCACCTAGGTATCCCGAACATACTTGTGTCAGGAACAAAATCAGGATCCTTTTAGCAAAGTTTGACCTGGGCGATAGAGACACATATATTCAATGGCCTACCCCATCCATCGTAGCTCAACTATATTTGTTCCATACAAAATATATTCAGTTGATTGATGAGCAATTCTGTATTTTCATTTAAAAAATACACTTCATATGTATTTTTTATTAAAAAAAATATGTTTTATTGTTGTTTTTATGTTTAATGCAACTGAGAACTTGCTATGGGCACACAGAAATATGGAACTCTGTTGGTGTAGTGGTTAGGAGATGGACTGATAACCACAGGGCCAGCAGTTTGAAACCACCAGCCGTGCTCCAGGAGAAAGATGGGGCTTTCTACTCCTGCAAAGGGCCACAGTCTCAGAAATGCACAGGGGCATTTCTGTCTTGTAGGGTCATTAGGAGTTGGCCTCGACTTGGTGGTAGTGAGTTTGGTGTTTCATTATACACAAACACATGCACACACAATTCATGATTAATGTTCTAATGCAGCAATGTTAAGCAACTCTTTTGGAAGAAACAAACAAACAAATAAGTAGTGTGAAGCAATGCTATGAAAGGTGCTAACCATTCTATGACATTAAAAAATGACCTTAAAGCGCTTTAGGGTGTAATCCTTGATTTTGACTTTACGTGAATAACAGTATGGTTTTCTCATCTTGGCAGCAAAAACCTGCCCGACTCTCCGGCAGCCTATTCTTTGTTTGTAACTAAAGCAAACAGGCAAACAAAGCCAAGAGCAGAAAACCTAAACTCAGTACCATCGAGTCACTTCGGACTCATAGCGATCCAAACTGGAAGTCTTCCCAGGAGTAGACAGCCTCCTCTCTCTCCAGAAGAGTGGCTGAGGGGTTCGTACGCTGACCTTAACGGCTAGCAGTTCAATGCATAGCACACTGTAGCACGTGCTCTCCTCCCTTTGTTTGAAAGATGTGGCCATCTCCTTCTTCTCTACGATGGCTAACAGTGCCGAAGTACCCGAGGGTAGTTCCTTAGATAGCTACACTCCAACCACTTGGCATTTAAAAAAAAATTTTTTTATTGGGGGCTTCTATAACTCTTATCACAATCCATCCATCCATCCATCCATTGTCTTAAGCACACAAGTACATATGTTGCCATCACCGTCTTCAAGCATTTCTTTCTGCTTGAGCCCTTGGTATCAGTTCCTCATTCCCTCCTCCCTCCCCCTCCTTCATGAACCCTTGATAATTTACAAATTATTATTATTTTTTCATGTCTTCACTTGGCATTATTTTATGGATCATTATGCTGAGACCTAAAGCAGCCTTAAAAAAAAAAAACCCAATTACCTCCAAAAGACTAAGATATATATTAAAATAGTATATATATTCTTTTAACTCAACATATACAAAATATTATGTAACCAATAGAAAAATTGTCTGTGAGATACTTTCTCTCCCTTTGCATCAAGGGTCGCTCCGTGTCTGCGTCGACTGTGGAGTGAGTTTGGCTCTGGGTTTTCCTAGCAGGACGTTCAAGTCTGGTGCATCGTTTGGGCATGTGAACATCTCAACTTGAATTGGCAATATTTTAAAACGTTTGTGTTTTATTGTGACAGATGGCAGGGGGCTTCAGCAGGAGCTGGGAACATGGAACGAACCGATAATGGCGTGTTTCCACGATTTGGAAGTCCTTTCATATATGTAACAAAACATTTGACCTTTCTGACGCAGCCACATGTCCCATTTCAGTGACAATAATTCCATTTCTCCTCTTGTTCCAACACCACCCTTATCCATGCCTGCAATGTTCCACAGAGTGTTTTTAGAGACAAAATAATCCTATGGTCACATAGACACAATGTGCAGAAGAAAATGAATTTCGAGACACTCTTCGGTTCTTTCTCGGTGTTTTTTCTTCTTCTTTCTTTTCTTTCCATGGCCTTTCCCACTTCAGCCAAGACCTGTGCAGCTTTAGGTTAACCTTATGGTGCCGACTGTCCCTTGAATGCTCCTCTTTTCCTGTCACTTCCTGTTAGATAGACACCCGGAGTCTGCGGGCCACTGCCTTACTCCCCATCCATCTTCCGGTGCACTTGATTGGCCCAACGTGGCAGCAGCTGCAGCTGCCGCTGCTGCTGGGATCGTTCCTGGAAAGATCTGCAGGCTGAAGCCCAAGGCTGGAGGGCTGTGCACAGACACTGCTTTCTCAACTATGCAGAGCGCTTGTGTTGCCAGGTCGAGGCGAACCTGCCAGTAGTTTGCTAATGATTTCCAGGACACTGGCCCAGCTGCCAGCCAGTTACCACAGTTTTCTCCCAGTAAAGCTGCCTTTAAGGAAAGGGTTGTAAAAGGAGGGCTGCTTCAATGAAAACTTTATGGTCTTCTTAGCACTCAGTTATCTGGAAGACGTGTCCATAGATTCACCCCCTTTCCAAATGCAGAGGGTGACCTGTGTGCCTTTTGGGTCTGTCCTTGCAGAAGTGAAATTTGTCTGCGAAACCCCAGCCATTGCGGATATTGTCATCCTGGTCGATGGCTCGTGGAGTATTGGAAGATTCAATTTCCGACTGGTGCGGCTTTTCCTGGAAAACCTGGTCACCGCTTTCAATGTGGATGCTGAGAAGACGCGGATCGGTACTTTTTCCATTATTCCTCGCAGCAGTCAGCTGTCAAGGGAAAAGGGCTGGGGAGCTTTTAAAGACCTTTCAAAAACTTGTTTCAAATGACCTTCACCTTGACAAGATCACCTGTAGGTGATGCTCCCCCACAGGATAGCTTTGGACCAATAAATATTCACTTGTAATTTTTGCTATGGTACTGTCATCCAATTCATCATGGGGTTAATTTTAATTCTCTGAAACATAAAAATCCCTTGGCCTGATAATAATAGCAAGTTTTAAAAGTTAGGGTTGGTCTAAAAGAAACTAGCTTATAGCAATATTCTTTTTATTGAAAAGGAACAGTTGAATCCAGTGGATGGCTGAACTGTGAAAATCAAAATAGTTTCATGGGACAAAATCTTCATTGCCAAATTGATTCTAGCCAACATCAATGCAAAAGAAGGAGTTGTAAATCTTTAAGCTCTATATTCACTGTATCTTTTTTTTAATCTCAATGACTTTTACATAGTCATTGAAGGCAATTCCTGACATCAATTGAAGCAGTGAACTTAGACCCCTTGGTAGCTAGGGAGTATATATCTCTGGCGATTTAGAAATGAACACTTGTTTGGTATTTCACATTTTTAAAAGACTGTATTTGCACATGAAATGTCTAGCATTATTTATTTGTGTTTTTTTTCCTCCTGAAAAAAAAATTTCAGGATTTTTTTAAAAAAGAAAGTACATAGGCAGACAGTGAAAAAACCAAACCAAACCAAAAGATGTTTCCAGGAATCTAAGCTCTGTCACTCGGTCTCGGAGGGACCCGTCACGATGGGTGGGATTTTCCCATCTCTCTTTTCCAGGCCTTGCACAGTATAGCGGTGACCCCAGAATTGAATGGCACTTGAATGATTTCAGCACCAAGGATGAGGTGATCGAAGCTGTCCGAAATCTACCTTACAAGGGGGGGAACACTCTGACAGGTATGTATGGTTCAGACCACATGCTGAGCAACATTATCTAACCAAAGAATGGCTTTGCTCTCTCCACCGACAGCAAGGTTAGCCTGGTATTTCTCTACCAAACCAGCCCCACAGACTCACGATGGCTCCTTCCCCAAACTCGGTAAGAGAGTTCCAACCCAGACATCTCCTTCTCCTGCCTTGTGAACAGGGAAAGCTTGGCTGCACCAGAAGGAAGCTGGCTAACATCCTCCAGTTCTTTATCTTCTCTTCTTACCTCTTTTCCTTCTCTGGCCACGGTGGTGCTTACATGGAAACGCAGTGTTTTCTTTTATTTTCAAAGAAGGGAGTTTCTTTGCAGTTCATCTGCAAATCTGAATTTACCATGAGAGTGTTTGGGGATCTTTGGTTTACCAGTGTTCGTGATGGCGAGTCGTGTCAGAGCATGCAGCCTGTGCTGCCCCAGGGCACACTCCCGGGCCTGCTCATGGGGTTTAACCTTCGGACATGCTCTTTCCTGCCACAGGCACCGCAGTTCAGATGCTGAGCTTAAAGCAATATGGATGCTTTCTCTCTCTCTTTTAAAAAAAACCTCTGAAATCCTGACTGTTGCTTTGCTCGTTGAAGGCATAAAAGAATAGGATTTTTATCCATCCAGCCAGAAAACAACTCCGCAAACATCTCTTAACAACATGGTGGCATTTCTTCTTCTTCCCGTGGGGAAAGGGTCACATGAAAAAAGCAGAGATCTGATTATCTTCTCTGATCTTCACCCACGACTTCTAAAAGAGAGATGTTTGTTTCTTTGGGTCATCCTGAACAACAGTGATGAGATGGTGATGGTATTTTGAGACAGTGGGTATTCATTCTAGCTTCATCCTAAAGGCTTAGATAGTTCACGTTTTCTAATGTCGGTGACCGTGAATGCGAACCGCTGCTTGTTTGAAATACAGATTCACTTCTGAAACGATGCTGTGCTCAATTAGCTATTTTCCTGCTATGGTGACCTTTAGCTTTCCACAAGAACTGTCAAGGAAAATCTCATAAAAATGAAGACTTACAGCTAATAAAAAATCTTTTAGCTCAATAAGTTACTCGTCTGTGGTTGCATTTTGTAAAATTGGAAGGCTTTTAATAGCGATGGTTGGCTTGTGTTTATTTTTCCCTTTTTGCCCTCAGGTCTTGCCTTGAACTATATTTTTGAAAACAGTTTTAAGCCAGAAGCAGGAGCAAGGACTGGAGTCTCCAAAATTGGCATTTTAATCACTGATGGAAAATCCCAAGATGATATTATCCCCCCATCCAGAAACCTTCGCGAGTCTGGTGTAGAGCTGTTTGCCATAGGTATGTGAGGGTTACTGTCCTGTCCCAACAAGAGTTGAGTGTGATTGATGTCAGGGAGCTCTTCACTGGAGACGCGGAGGCCTGGGCCCGGCACAAGCATAGTCCTGCTATGAAGCAGAACTCAGATCTGAGCCCAGTTCCCTAACCTTTGAAATGGAATTGAGGGTAAGTGTCCTGCGTTCTACAGTGGGAAGCTCTGTAGGTAGGTGAGGCGTCGTGCATGAGAAGTTGTGCATATGCTGGTACAGATAGGAACTGGAAACCCCGGGAATCCAGGACAGATGATCCCTTCAGGACCAGTGGTGAGAGTGGCGATTCCGGGAGGGTGGAGGATGGGGGGTGGTGGAAAGGGGGAACCGAATACAGGGATCTACATATAACCTCCTCCCTGAGGGATGGACAACAGAAAAGTGGGTGAAGGGAGACGTCGGACAGTGTGAGACATGGCAAAATAATCATTTATAAATTATCAAGGGCTCATGAGGGAGCTGGGAGGGAGGGGGAAAAATGAGGAGCTGTTACCAAGGGCTTAAGCAGAAAGCAAATGTTCGAGAATGATGATGGCAACAAATGTACAAATGTGCTTGACACAATGGATGGATGGATGGGTTGTGATAAGAGGTGTACGAGCCTCCAATAAAATACTTTTTAAAAAGTTGTGCATATGAAGTCTAGGCCTATGATTTTGTGCATTTATGTAGTCAGAAGTGTCTTTAGTGGAAGGTCAGCATGGAAGCAGAAGACTGTTAACGATATGGCTGAACACAGTGGCTCTGGCAGAGCGATGATTGTGAGGGTGGCGCTGGACTGCGCCGTGCTTGGGTCTGTTGGACGTAGGGTCACTGTGAGTTAGGCCAGACTCAAGGGCACCTACCACCATCACCACCACCATTCCCGTCTCATTGATGCCACCTCATTGTGGTCTGTTCTCTGGCAGGATAGAGAGAAACCAGCATACTGTTTTCCAGGGATTAGGGTTTTGCCACTGCTTACAGAGCGCACAGAGTTCTCGATTTGCAGGATTATTTTCTCGAGGGACCAATCCTTTATGAAGTTTCATTGCTTTTCAGAAGCCTGGAAATAGCCTCTATTCAGAATCACTGCACATTATTAGAGGGTATGGCTTTGCACCTGATTTGAATGTTGGCATTTTCTTTGACAGCAGGAGGGTCTTCTATTTACTAAAGTCTGACAAACTTTCTAAACGGAGGGAAAAAGTCCAATACCCAAGCAGCATGCAGATGCAGATAAACATGCCACAACAAAATTTTCAACAGGGCCCTGAAGACATTGAAAGTTGGCTATTATAAATGGCCTGTTTCATCATGGTTTGCATATTGGACTGCCCTATATGGGGTCAGTCTCGAGTCTCGTTAAAGTGTATTTAGCTTCCCGCCCTTTACAGGGAACATAATGCAGTCTACTCTCTGTAAATTATCAGGAGGGGCTATTCTTCCACCTTCTACTTCTACTCCGGTTAGGAGAGACATACCAGGTGGCACTATAGAAAATCCAGATGTGAAGATCCCATTTTAATAGCCTTGTTAGTCAAAACATCCAGACAATAGAAGCCTGTCAATCTATACCTTAAAAATGTACCCAGATGACTTCTGCATTTCAGTCTTGAGAACGACTGGTGAATCCATTGGCGGTTGACGGCTCTCTCCCCTTTAGAGAAAGAGCTGAAAGGCTTTCCAGATCTCTGCTTTTTTGTTTCACCAGAGCAGGTTTATAGGCAGTCACCGTCTCAGAACTTTCCTCCTAGCATCCAGCTCCGTCCTGTCTGGGAACAGCTTCTGAAGCACATAGAGGTGTGCTTTTATTGAAGCCATGTTCTTCCTCCCCTGTTCCTGCAGCGCCCCTGGAAGGCATCTTGCTGGTGCAGTGGCTAAGTGCTTAGCTGCTGACGTCTGTTCTGCAGGAGACAGAAAGATGTGACAGTCTGTCTCCATAAGGTTGCAACATCGGAGACCTTATGGGGCAGTGCTACTATGTTCTATAGAGCCACTGTGCGTTGCTGTAGAATAGACACACCAGTAATGAGAGTAATGAGCAAGGGGCGCCAGCTCTGGACAGTTAGCTTCTGGAAATCAAGGTTATGTCTTCAGCTTCCCATCCCCTACACCTAACTAGTCCTTGACTCTGAATGGGTGTCCATTAAAATGGTTTTTGAGGAACTTGGTGTGACTAGAGGGTTTCTAAGACAGCAATATAACCCTTTGTCTTAAAAATCTAAATGCTTTTGGAAGATGAAAATAAAAGAAGTGCATCTTTTTTCTTATGGTCAAAGCCATTATAAAATGCTGTCAGTGAAAGCTACTTTATCTACACACAGGAGAGAGAGAGCCAAAGAAATACTGGGGGGAAATTTAGACTAAATGTTGTTTAGGTTTTGATTTTGTTTCATTCCAACCTTATTATTTGGTATCTATGTGGGTGGCTGTTATGTCTTCGTGGTTTATCGGTTCACCAGAATCAGTTTTGATTGTATGCATCTCTTCCCAAATCCACAATCTGTGACCTCAGCTTAGTGGTTTGAAATCAACCACGGCGGGTGTATTTACACTAGATAAATTGGCAAGTACTATAATCCAGGGCTGGAAGCCGATTATTAAACATGAGTCAGCACACACCTCTGGAACTTCTATGGGTAATAAGCTGACTTCTTACCCAAGTGCAACTTCAGTTCCAAAGGCAACTGTCAGGCTTGCTCTAGAAGCCGATTCCGATTGGCGTGGCCTTAGGGTTTCTCGCCTTCCAGGGTCGCAGCACTCTTTGCAGGGCCTCCAGCAAGAGCGAGAGGAACGCGTTCCAGTGTGGTGTGCAGAAAGTTTCACTTCAGCAGCATTCTATTCTTTTCTCTGTGTCAGGAGCTGTGCTGGGCCCTGGGGCGCAAAGCTGAGCAAGACTCAGTTCTTATAAAACACATTCATCTGAAGTCAAGGTGACCATTCCCTTGCTCATCTCTGTGGTCAGACGATTTTATTTGACTAAGGGAGCGAGAGGCAGATTTGGGACTCTAGAATATTCTTTCTTTCTTTTAATTATTGGAGTATAATTCGCATATACGATTCAACTGCTCAGTCGACCTTAGAATATTCTTATGGGTAGAAGCTGAAAGACAACAGGGAGATGCACACTTCTTAGGACAGCCAACCACAGGAGAGCAAGAAGGCAGCAAATACCCGGTTCAGAAAGCAAATGGAGGGCCAAGAAGTGCGGATGAAGCTGGGAAACACGGGAGAAAGGTCTACATCCATTGTGGGGACCGCAATCAAGGTCTCATGAAACTACATGTGTATGAATGATTGAACAGAAAACCAAGCTGTCCCATAAACGTTTACTCAAGTCACGTGTGCACGCGGACACACACACACACACACACACACACACACACACACACACACACACACGAAAAGCCAGTGCCACAAATTGCCATCGAATTGATTCTGGTTCATGGCAACCTCCTGTATGTCAGAGTTGAAACTTGCTCCCTAGCATGTTCCCTGGTTGATTTTTGAGAAGTCCACCTTTGGGCCTTCCTTTTGAGCACAAGCAGTCAGTCGTACAGCTGAGGGCTGATGGGATGAATGTCTACACAGGGTCCCAACGGGGCCACGAAGAATTGGCATTTACACATGGCAGTGAGTTTGTTTTCTTGTCCTCTCGCCTTTGTGGATCTGCTGATATATAAAGAATATTCCTGTGTGAGTCTCAACTTGCTGGTGGCTTGAACCGGATGCCCTAGGAAACATTATTGGCACTAAGTTCATAGTCTCAGCATGTGCTGGTGTTATGCTGTCTGCCATTGCGGACACAGGTGAAGATGTGCATTATAAGCTATGGTAGAAGCCCATCAGGGAAGAGACACCGCAGACTCCTCACCCCCTTCCTTTGTCATCCAGAAGAAACCCCTTATACTGATGGTGGGTTCATTTGCAGCTCCTCCCTTTTCTGGTATTGTTAATAATGGATAGATTCATTTTTTAATTAAATACTTTTATTGGGGGCTCTTACATCTCTTATCACAATGCATACATTCCTCCAGTGTGTCAAGCACATTTGCACATATGCTGCCATCATCATTTTCAAAGCATTCTCTTCTTATTTGAGCCCCTGATATCAGCTCCCCATTTATTCCCCCTTCCTCCCCCGCTCATCCTCCCTCATGAAACCTTGATAAGTTATAGATTATTATTGTCATTAGATTCATTTTTAAACAAAAAAAAATTAAGAGGATGCATCCAGATGTGATTTGGGCTTTTTTTTAAAGTCTGGAAATTATCAGTGTTTGTTATTTGATAATCACAAATTAACTCATAAAGCAAATAGCTCTTGGACAGCGGCGACCTCTGTGTTGCTCAGTGCCCGGAAGGTTGGGCGATAGATGAATGAGACAGTTCTGTTGCCACCAGTGATCCCTCCTCCCGGCCTGAGCTGTCTCTTGTAGCATGCTCATGTTATTGGAATGACAGGGATTTCCAGAATCTTGTTTGTTGAAGTCCAAGAACAAGACATCTACCCTCCTGAGAGTAAACCCCTCCTGCTTCGTCTGTCATTTTCCAGTGAACGTCCACTCCCCATCAAGTCCTGCGTCTGAGTGGCAGTGTGAGGAAATGGTGACCAATGTAGGACTTGGGTCCACATCTAGAGATGTGTAAATGATTTACATACACATACCTAGACGGACGAATAAAGTGTATCAATGTACTACACACGGGGGAACTTCAAAGAGTTGTAGAAACAAACATTTCATTCATCTTTTAGTTTCATTTTTTAAAAACAATTTTATTGGTACTTCATTCACATATCACACAATTCAATGGTTCAATCATATCACGAAGAGTTGTACAATCATTATCACAAGCAGTTTTAGAATGTTTCCTTCTTCCTTGTACTCATTGTTGCTCATGTAATTATTATTTTTTAAATTGTGGCAAAATTATGTGCAACAAAACATTTAATTTAATTTTTCTATAAATTTTTGAAGCATCTATGTTTGCACACGCACGTGTGTGAGTGTGTGTATGAAACCCGCTGCCGTCAAGTTAATTTTGACATAACAATCTCATTAAGGTTTCCCAGACTGCACACCTTTCTGTAGCAAACAGTCTCATTTATCTTCCACAGAGCAGCTCGTAGGTTTGAACTTCTAGCCTTACTGCTAACAGCCCAATGCATGACCCATAGTACCACCAGGGTGTTGTGTGTGCATTTATGATATTTTTCCCTAGGAGTATCTCAGTGTAACGAAAACAACATTTTATGTAGTTGGTTTTATAAAGCCACCTTCCTGTCAGGAAGTACTGACCAGAAGTGACGATCCAGCCATTCTTACCTGATTTTGGAGGGGATTTTGTGACATAATCCAATATGACACTTGCCTCTTTGAAGGAGCAGGTGTGTTCCTTGCAGCGGAAGCTGCTGGCTTGGGTCAGGCCTACAGCAGGGGCTCCTTCACGGAGGCGTGGATAACCCGGGACCCTTCCTCTTCTTCTCCACGCCAGGGGTGAAGAACGCGGACCTGAGTGAGCTGCAGGAGATCGCCTCCGAACCCGACAGCACGCACGTGTACAACGTGGCCGAGTTTGATCTGATGCACACCGTGGTGGAGAGCCTGACCAGGACCGTCTGCTCCCGAGTGGAAGAGCAGGCCGAGGAAATCAAAGGTACAGCCGACAGAGGACGGCGGTTTTGCTGAGGGGGCGGTACCCCCATAAAGTCCATTGAGGTTTACGCCAGGTCTTAGTGGTTTTCATGTTGACTTTCTGAACGGAGCCTTCTAGTCCTCTAAGACCCAGTTCAACATTGTCGAAAAAGGAGTCTATTGGAAGGTATGGTGGGAATGAGAGGGAGCCACTAACTAGCTATTCTCTGCATTGTTACATGTAGTGCTTTGTGGGTTTTTAATATAATCAAACGTTTAATATTGAGCTCTTTAGATTATCACATGCATGCAAGAAATAGTATAGAGATGCTGTGTATACTCTTAACTTGATCCCCCCAATGATAGCTTCTTGTGAAACCCCAGTTCAATATCACAGTCAATATACTGAATGGATCCAGCCAAGAGGCAAATGTTGCCACTCCCCCTGCCCTGAGTGTCTCCTGTGTTGCGTTTTGTGGCCACATTCTTCCTGCCCCACTCTTTCATCGTTCATCTGTTCTCCATTTGTCAGTCTTTCATTTCAAATAGGCTATGTACCTGGGCCCAATTAATATGCAATCTTATAGGAATAGCTTTTTAAGGTCAAGATAAGTTCTTGGAAAGGTCATCCTGTTGTGGTATTGACCATGATCACTTGTTATTGCTGTGTTGCTTTCTTGGGTCCGGAGATAACACAGTGGGTTGAACCATTCACCTACTGAAGAACAGGACGCTGTTGCCTGTTTTTTGACTATTTGGGAGAAAGCTGCCATGAACATTTGTTGTCAGGTTTTGATATGAGTTTTTAGTCCTCTGGGATGGTACTATCCAGAAATGTTGGTCCAAATGATAATTGTAGATTTCATTTTTTTAAGCAACTGTCAAACCGTTGCCCAGACTGAGAGTGCTATTTGGCGTTCTCACCAACAGATGAGTCATCCAGGCTCTCTGCCTCATTGCAACATTCATTATTGTGACTATTGTTTATTCTAGCTAGTCTGACAGGTGTGCTGCATTATCACATTGTGGTTTTAATTTGCATTTCCTGGTGGTTAATACACTGTGATGTCTTTTCATGTACTTACTTGCAATCTGTAAATCTTCAGCAGAATGTCCATTTCTAGTTGTTTTGTTGTTGTTTTTATTTTTTCTTTAACTGTTGCATTTTGAGAGTTTAAAATTTTATAGCCTAATACCTACTAATCCCCTGTTGGATATGTGGCTTGCAAATATTTTTTCCAATGTATAGTTTATCTGTCCATCCCAAGAAGGTCTTTTCTAAATATTCCTCATTTTATTGGGAGCTCTTACAGATGTCATGACATCCTATAATTCAAATTGATCAGGCATAATTATACAATTGCTACTACAATCAGTTTCGAAACATTTTCTTTCTTCTTGAACTCTTTGATATCAACTCCCCTTCATCCTCTCCTTCCCCTCCCCTTCCCCCCAGGATCCCTTTTTGTTATTGTTATATATCATTATTTTTATGCTATTATATATACTTTTTTTCAGCCGTACTAAGAAGGTCTTTTGCAGAGCCCAAAAAAATTAAATTATGATAAAGTCCAATTTATTTTTTAATAAAAGTTTGGTGCTACATCTAAGAATTATTTACCTGGACATACATCTTGAAGATTTTCTCTAATTTTTTTCTAAATGTTTTATAATTTTATTTTTCACATGTAAACCCATGATCCATGTTTAGGTTCATCTCTTCAGGAGGTTTTGAGTCTAGTTCAAACTTCATATTTAGTCCATGAAGGACCACTTAGCCTAGGCACCATCTGTTGAAAAGACCACCTTTCTCCCACCGAAATGCTTGGCATCTTCGTCAAATATCTTTCAGGAGTATTCACCTACTTGCATTTTATTCGTTGGTCTCACATCATTATGGAATCATTTGCTTTGTTATGTACGTATCACATATAAGCTGCATATGCAGTCTATTTCCTCGCATATATATATATATCATTAGTTCATTGTTTTCTTCCTTTCACTATTGCATAGTGGCCATGGGATACATTGAAACCTGCACTTTAGAGGTGGTCCTCTGGTGCTCAACAGCACAGGCTCAGAGCTCAGGATACGCCTGGGCGTCAGTGTCAGCTCTGCCAATGACCTCCTATGTGCCTTGTTTTTCTCACCTGCAAAATAGGGAGAATAATGGCAAATGATAGTCGTATACCTCTAAATAGCTTACAAAAGTATACACATGTGGTTAATTCATATTACACTGTACTGTGTTAGAGTAATGTCTTCATCAGAAGTGTCTTGGATCAGAGATTATGTCATATTTAAGTTTGTAATTTCATAGTAGGTGGAATAGTAATAAATATTTAGCCATTGATATTTTTGAATCCATAAACAAAGGCACGGATAGCTTATCGAGGAAGAAGTTATTCTGGTAAGGAGTCACCTTGTCTAGAGATCATCCATGGAGGGCCAGCATAATACCAACCCGAGAAAGAGGTTTATTTGATGGTTTTGTTGTTGTTGTTTGTTTTTCTTAACTCAGCCTCAGCCCTCATCACCACTGGCCCACCTACGGAATTGATTATTTCTGAAGTCACTGCTAGAAGCTTTATGGTGAACTGGACTCATGCCCCAGGAAACGTGGAAAAATACAGAGTTGTGTATTATCCGACAAGGGGTGGAAAGCCGGAGGAGGTAACATCCATCGTTGTCAAGGAGATTCTGTCTAGTCATGTGCAAGAGCAATACCGCAGGGGTTGGGCTTTCATAATACACATTTATTGACTCACAGGGTAGTTGGGATTCAGAAGGCCAGATCTAGAGGGAGCTTTCTCTTTCTGTGAGCTCGGGGGAAAGGTCCTCACAGCATGATCTCCATGTACCTTAGCATCTGCCTTCCCCTGGGTCTAGGAGTTCTCAGTGTGGCATTTCTCAGTTCAAAAGATGTTCTCCCCTCAGTCTCTTCTTGTTGGTCTTGAGGTCCGCTCATCTCTGCTTGCTTCTTTAATGTCTTTTTTTTTATTTCAAAAGGGATTGAACCAAGATACAAATTGACCTTGTGGTTTGCATCCTACCTCATGACCCTAACTGCCTCTAATCCGGCATCATCAACATCCTGGAGGTTAGGGCTTACAAGGCATAGAACTGTGATAGCAGAGCACAAAACGAGGGAGAGGCACACAATTTGGGGAATAAGGGTATCCCCAAAGTGGCACAGATCGGGGGGAGATGTAGTCAATGACAGTGACCTTGTCGTATGGAGTACAACTGGACTCATAGGGCTTCCAAGACTATACTATTTCCAGACACATACTTCTATATATTTCTCCCATGGAATGGCTGGTGGGTTAAAATTGCCTGGTACATGTTGGGTTAACATCTGGATGTTTTCACCATGGCACTACCAAAGCTTCTTAGTCTAGGAATAAGGAGATAATGGTTTCTCTTTTTCATTTTGTTTGTTTGTTTTTTTAGATTTTACTCATTTTATCAGAAGCTCTCGTAGATATCTGGCCAGAGCCCCCTTTTGGTATTCATGCCTTCTCTCTTCTTTGGGAGTGATTTCAGCTTTCTGTCTGAAGGAAGTCTGTGTGCTCCAAAGGATGTGGTCATATAATCTAGTCCTCCAGGCTCTGGAGTTTTTCCTGCCCATTTGTGGAGAACAGTGTAATAGAGAAGTCATTTTAAAGCAGCTGTGGCCAGCCTTGATTTCATGAGTTGGCCGATCTAGGCGGGAATACTTATTGTCAGATGACCCGATCTCCCTTGCTTCCCATCTTTGATACCCAAACCCACAGGGACTGCATTAAACCCTGATGACATCTGCCTTCCTGTGGCTCTAACCTCGGACTAACCTCAGGGTGTTTCACAATTCTTGCTGTATGATGGCAGGGTTTATGATTCTTATTAAAAAGAAGAGTCTTACACAAATAGATCATAAAGTTTTAAATCAGCACCTTAAAAAAATCACTGTGCTTCCAATTGTTCTATCTTTTCATGACAAATTAACCTTTAAACTGTTTACCAAAGCTCCTCAGCAGTTGTATCACACGTCTGCTGTTATTAAGTGGCTGTGGAAAGGATGGTAATCAGGTCAAGGATGGCACAGTTTCTATGAGATGTGAATGAATAAGGGACTTGGGGACCCACTCCATAGAAGGTCCGTCCTCTCCTGTCAGGACTCAAGGAGAGGTGACTACCATGGCACCATGGTGGAAGAAAGGATGTGGCACAAATAAAGGAGTATTTTAGGAAAGGTTCTTACTCCGGTTGTTTTTGCTTCTTCACTTCAGTCCCGCGTGTGAGCCCTCATCCCTTGAACTATCCTTTTACAGGTGGTGGTGGATGGTCATGAATCTTCCACAGTGCTGAAGAGCCTGATGTCTTTGACTGAATATCAGATAGCGGTCTTCGCAATATATTCCCACACCGCTAGTGAAGGCCTCCGTGGAAGTGAAACTACACGTATGTAAATAAATATGTATTTATTTCTACCGCTCGTCTGCCAGTGTGTGGCATTACCTGGGTGACCTTCCCTGGAGTTGGCATTCCGTATCATCTGCATGGATGAACATACTGAATCAAATTCATTGAAAGTAGTTGCTATGCTCTATAGAGTAGTGGGTTCGTTTTGATGATTCTACTTATTGGGACATTAAGTTGGACCTTGAATAAGGAAGACCAAAGAAGAATAAATGTACGTGAATTATAGTGCTGGTGAAGATTAATGAAAGTACCAGGGACTGACTGCCAAAAAGCATAAGCAAATCTGAGTTGGAAGTTGTGCAGCCAGAATGCTCCTTGGACGTGAAGCTGGCGAGACTCTGTCTCATGTCCTTTGGTCATGTTACCCGAAGGGACCAGTCTCTTGGAAAGGACACATACTTGGTAAAGTAAAAGGGGAGCATTGAGACGTGCTGATACAGTGGCAGCAACAATGGGCTCAACGTAGCAATTCTGAGGCTGGCGCAGGACCGGGTAGTATACTGTTCGGTTGTACACAGCATTGCCATGAGTCAGAACCGGCTTGATGACGCCATACAGAACAGCACTCATTGGACAGGGTGTTGGCAAACTCTGGTATGCTTACAGTCATCTCTGTGCCCAAGGATAGAAAGTACAGTCATTTATTGAATAACTGTCTAATGAAGGCCGATCATAAGACAAGCAGTGTTCCCAACACACAATCAACGATGAACAGAAAGACAGAAAGTTACAAGTAGCTCGTTGTCCACTGGACAAGAAGGAGCTTACGAACCTAAGCAGAAGCGATCCTCACTTTGCACTGCACCCTATTAGCTGACCTTTGTGCGTAGTGGTGCCAAATCTTTCCTTTGCGTGGTTGCGTGGTAATGGAGCTCTGAGGACACCGTGCGGACACGTGTGAGTTTTCGTTAGGCTTGTCTTATGTACCAGCAAGCATTGGTAATCTTTGATGTGCGCTCTGAAAAGAAAGACAGATGGTAACAGTGGTGTATGCGGCGGGAAATTTGACTTTGGCAACTTTGGGGCTGGGAGATGGGAAGGCGCGTGTCCTCGGAGCATTGCCCCGAGGAAGAGCGCAGCAAGTGGGAGTGATTATTGTTGGTAGTTTTCATTGTCTTCTCACGGTGGAGTGACGGATGGTATTTAACGAGATAGAGCAGGGACAGGGAACATCTGTGGGGTGTTTGGTGTGGCCCAGAAAATGCTGTCCAAGTCGAGCAAGCAATTGGACAGCAGAAGGATGCCAATCCCAAGTAAGGAAAGAAAGGCGGCCAGAGAGGGAGGGAGGAGGAGGATGGTACCATAGGAAGGGGGGAGGCAGAGCAAGGTGGGCCCGTGCGGAGGATTGTGTTACCTTCCAGAATAATCGCAAACCATTGACCGTGTTAAAGCAAGTCTTCGAAATGCGAATGCAACCACAGTGGTTCAAACTCACCAAGTGCCGTGGGAGGAGGCACAACTGGCAAGACGCTCCTCTGAAGACCTGGGAAACCCACTCCGCTCCGTCCTGTGGGGCTGCTGTGAGTCCGATGGACTGTGGGCTGCCTGTCACCTAGGAAACAGACCAGCTGCTCAGCCGGAGGGCACAGGGCTCAGGGAGCCCGGTGGACCCTGGGGCAGGAGGCAGGGGAGAGATGGCGGTGGCGGGGCACCAAGAGGAATGAGTGGGCTCCAGAGAGATTTCAGTGGTGTGAGAAGGGTCCAGAAATCTTCCTGGGGGAGAGGAAACGAAAGTCGCCACCTAACGAAGGATTTCTGAAAACGCGTCTGTAGACGCGATCGAGAGGCTTCCATCGCTTCCTGCGCAACAGAATCCTAATGTGTGGAAGTGTGTTATCGGTGACATCTGGGTTCAGTATTCAGGTCATTGCGTTGCAAACAAACTTCAAAGCCCCAGTAACCCTTTACCTCGGTGGTGCACAAAGTGGGAGATACCAGCCCCTGGGATGCTGGCACAAGCAGAGACTTCCAGTTAGCCTGGCTTAGGGGCATCGCACACACGTTTTTAATGGCTGGTGCCAGGGGAGGGGGAACTGAGTAATTTTTTTCCCCCTAAAAGGGATTAGTAGGCCAGTTAAGTCCAAGATCTTATGTACCTGAACATGGTCATGATAAGACATGTCCTACACAGACTCATATGCAGAATCCTTGAACGACATCATTTAAAACTCTCATCGTCACCTACTCATTGAGTCAGTTTATACATTACGTCCCCAGCATGTGCTGGCCACTGTGCTGCAATGACGAACTAAAGCCCTGCCCTGGTAGGGCGGTAAAAACTGGTAATCACATAAAATCCCCAAGAACAACTACCAGGATCGAATGCTGGACAGTGTCAGGTAAAATGTCGCCATTCTCAATCCGTGACTGGGTTTGTCCTTGGCAAAAATATGTGCGGCTGTGGTTAGAACTTCAAATTTTTAGAAATATCTCAGACATACTCCTTACCTTCAGATTTTTTTTGTCTTGGTAAAAAGGAATTAAAACTAAGATAACATGTAGCCAGATGATCATTCTTTATTTTAATAAATCATTTTTATTAAAATATCATTTTATTGGGGCTCTTGCAGCTCTTATAATAATCCATACATCAATTGTAACAAGCACATTTGTACATATATTGTCATTAACATTTCCAAAACATTTTCTTTTTACCTGGGTCCTTGGTATTAGCTCCTCTTGTTTTCCCTCCCTCCCACATCCTTCCGCCCTCAGGAACCCTTGACAATTTAGAAGTTCTTTTTATTTTTATTTTCACATTTTATACCCTGTGCTGTCTCCCTTCACCCACGTTTCTGACAGACTGGGTGGGGCGGTTAACATGCATACACATTAGTCCAACGATGTGCCATAGACACATGTTGAGAAGTATCTAAACGGAGCTGCAAGTGTCCGCCAAGACAAACTATAACATCCTGGTTAGAAAAGAAGGCAGGACCAGATTACACAAGGTTTGAAACTATATTTGGAAACCACAGTGTTTCAAGTTGGTGTGTGTGTGTGGCAATTTTTAAAGTTAGAAACATGGAGTTTATTCTTTATTCCTTTGGGATTTCTCTCAAGCCTGATCCGATTTATTTCTTGATTATTTCTTTCCCCCCCCTTGCTACTGATTGAATTATGTCTCGTGACCTACTTTGATTAAGTAAATTTGTTAATGAGCATTTGTTCATTCACTCACCCAGTCTGTCATTTCCTAAATGATTCCAAGACATTTCTAATGATAGTTGAATGCCAGGTTTTTCCCTTCTTGATGGTTAGAGTAGTGTCCCTGCTCTTGGCTGGCTCCCAGAGAATTGTAGCCATCCACAGAGTGGGATTTAAGAAAACTACAAGAGGTCACTCTGGCTTCAAAGCCTCCACTGTGTTTACCCTCCTGGCAGGTTTGTGTGAACAGGTTTAAGGATGAGCGTTATTTAACATAGAAGTTAAGTTCACTTTGAAAACACTAGTACCTGGGATACTTGAGCACTTTCATAAATGTGTGACCATCGATGTGTCTCCACTCTTTTCCAGTTGCTTTACCCATGGCTGCCGACCTGGAGTTGTATGATGTGACCGAGAACAGCCTCCGGGTCAAGTGGAACCCGGTCGTGGGGGCATCGGGGTATCTTATCCTCTATGCACCTCTCACTGAGGGGCTGGCTGGGGATGAAAAAGAGGTAACCACTCACTATCCGCTCGTGAAATCCTTGACTTCCTTCAAATAATTTTCCTATGACACATTGATATATAAATTTTAGAAAATTGAGATGAACAATTGTTCCCCCCACAAAAAAAATGACCCTAAACTAAACCACTTCACTTGTAGTCTCACCACCTAGAGAAATCCATTGGTTACAATTTAGTTACCCATCTTTCATCAGTACATTAAAACAATTGTTTATTTTATTGTACAATTCAACGATATTGCAAATCTCACTCTTCCCTTCTGAGTTCTTCCTACCTAATTAGCACAACCTCCTTAAAATTATTACCTAATGTTTAAGATGCTGTTGCTAATTTGACCCACAATGATAGTTCTTAGGAGTATAATGTTCAAGACAGGCTTTCTTACTAGTTAAACTGAACTATTGTTTGATTTTATGAACACTTAAAGATTTATTTTTGCTTCTAGGTTTGAGGCTTATCTCAGAGTAATAGTTCATTTACTGCCCTGCCCCCCCTCCCCAGGCTCTAGAAAGTCTAGCTTTCATGAGACTTTTACATTCTGTTCTGCATCTCCTCCCTTTTCTTGAGGATTCTTCTACTGACTCTTTGATAAAGATGTTCAGCACTAGTAGGTGGGCACCATCGAGTTCTTCAATGCATTGTTGACACAACTTCCAGGGTGATTCCTACACATACTACTTTGTAAACTGCTGTGTTTCTTTTAATCATTTTATTGGGGGCTTGTACAGGTCTTATCACAATCCATACATCCATCCATTGTGTCAAGCACATTTGTACATATGTTGCCCTCATCATTCTCAAAACATTT